GCCCAGGTGCAGACCAGGCCCTGGGGCCCCAGCCCAGGGCCCCCTGGGACATTCACCACATCCCTGCTTTAAGGTTGGGGACAGCCTTGTCATCAGATGCTGTCTGTCCCCTCACAAAGATCTCCCTGCCCTTCTTGGTTTTCTCCCTATCCCCGTTGGGCCTTGGGGGCTCCTAATCCATCAGTGTGTCTGAGGCCCACACCTTCTAGACACGCAAGCCGCGCACTGCGCTGACCACTGAGGCCAGTCCCTAGTGGCGCTCTCGGGGGACCTCAGTGAAGAGAAGCCTTCATTTCAGACTCCAGTCCCCATGGGCTGCCACCCTGTGCATTTGGTGGAAACACTGTGTCCACAGAACTATGGGCATGTAGACTTTTAGGTCTGTGATCTTAGTACAAAACCCCCTTTCCGGGAAACAAAACAACTACTATGTCAGTTACAGTCTTATTTAGGAAATGCTTAGCCCCTATAACTAGAAATAAGTAGATTACCTTTTAGAAAAGATTAATTTAATCCCTGTAACAAGGACCCCTTAGAGGAATTTGTGTTCAGTTACGAATTGTTTCCAAAGGACAAATGGAAGCTTAAAATATTTCTCAAATTAACCAGCTTTGGGAAGATTCCAACATTAACTTTGCCATAAAGCCGCCATTCCCAGCCAGTGTGTTCTCTTCCTTCAAAAAAAATTTTTTGTAGCTTTGTTGTTGTTGTTGTTATGTGCCGTCGAGTTGGACCCGACTCATAGCGACCCCTCCTTGGGTTTCCGAGGCAGTATCATTATGGAATTAGATTGCCCCATCTTCCTTCCGAATTTCTCGCTTTAGTGGAGTATAATTTATATCACATCCAATTCACCTGTTAAAATACAATTAAAATATTTTCCAAATGTACAATTTGGGGGTTTCAATAAGCTTACAGAGCTGTGCAGCCATGGCCACAATCACATTTCAGAACGCTTCCATCCGTCCAAAACAGCCTCAGAAAACTGGAGACCACATTGTGTTACTCCCCGTGTCTGCAGCATCCAAGTGCCACCAATAAATGGCCTCCCTGTTATCTCTTCCAGGCAAACACCAGACGGCTGGGGCCAAGCTCCTGCAATCTTATCAGAAACTGAGGTGAGTGCCGCTGAAGGACAGAGTGTCCCTGGACCTGAGGGGCAGGAGCACAAAGGACGCCCTGAAGGGACGTGGAGCTGTCTTGTCAGATGTCACCGCTCCAGAATGTAACTTCTGCATAAAAAGATAAAGGGCTTGGAAAAGATCCCAGCCAAGATAGTTTCAGATTCTCACAAGAAGCCTTCTAGGACGGCAGTTTTTTGTTTCTTAAATTCTCCTGAAATGTGACAAAATGACGTAGTGCTTCCGGTTGCATGGCCCA